CATATGCTCTCTCTAGGATAGGAATTTAACACATTCAAAACCACAGAAGCAGATGAGATTACTCGGGAGAGGGCTTGGAAGGAAGAGGAGTGTGTGAAGTCCTGAGGTCCTACAGCTTTATTGTAACCATGAGGGGAGCCTGAAGGCAACACCCAGAAGATGGCATTGCTGAATCAAATGACAGAGAGAAACCAGAATCCTAAGACAAAACTCAAGACACTAAAGCTGATTCTACGGATGGATTTCTCAACTGGATGCCAGTAAATTCCTTTTTTTTCTCTTCTTTTTTCTGTAGAGGGAGGGAGAGGAGCAGGCGAGAGGCAGAAGGAGAGAGAATCTTAAGCATGCTCCACACTGGGGCTTGATCCAATCCCCAATATGGGGCTTGATCTCACCCTGAGATTATGAGCTGAAATCAAGAGTTAGATGTGTAACGGACTGAACCACGGTAAATACTTTTTTTTTTTAAGATTTTATTTATTTATTTGAAAGAAATAGAGAGTCTCTCTCTCTCTCTCTCTCTCTCTCTCTCTCCCACACACACACACACACACACAGGGAGAGAGAGAGAGAGAGAGAGAATGAGTGAGGGGGGGAGAGTCAGAAGGAGAAGGGGAAGCAAGCTCTCTGCTGAGCAGGGAGCCCGATGCGGGGCTCAATCCCAGGACCCTCGGATCATGACCAGAGCAGAAGGCAGACGCTTAACTGACTGAGCCACCCAGGCATCCCAGTAAATTCCTTTTTAACTAAAATTTTATGTCATGTCTTTGAAAAAGAGTCCTGTCTTGTCTGACATCTCCCAACCTCTTCTCACTTATCTGTCTTCTCTTAGCGTGAGTTTCCTCATCTCCTTACCTGTCCTGCGGGAGAACCAGCTGACCCTAAGATTCAGAATTAACGAGTCGCTCCCATCCCAAGGAGCAAAGGGAAAGGCGTGACACCCCCCACTCATGGTCTGTTGTCATTTGGGCGTGAGTTGCGCAATCAGCTAAACATCAATTATGCGGTTCAAGATTTTATTTTTATTTTTGGATTGATAGCAACCAACCCAAACTGACTGTGGCTCATGGAAGCCAGGAAGGGAGTTTACTGGAAGCATCACAGGCCTCCCACCCGCAGAATCAAAGACAGAGCTGGGACAAGCTGAACACCGGAGCTGGCAAAGGTAAGAAAGCAGAGTTGTCCTGGGGAGCCTCCACAGGCTCTCCTCGAAATCCTCTCTGGGCTGACCACCGACAGGGTGCACTCTCGGTGCTGGCTTGAAACGGCTGGGAGATGGGTTATGTTCTAAGAATGAGAGGGAAGTGAGATGAGCCTCTTGGCCCTGGTTCCTAGGGGGCCACCCCGCAAATCAGAGAGGCTTGGTAGCCTGCCGAAGAGGGTCTGCCAGACTTCTCTCAGGGTGGAGCCATCCCTGGGCGCCTCCAAGCTGCTCGAGGCCCCTAGGGGTTGAGGGACAACCTCTGCAGGGCTTCGCAGCTCTTCAGGCCTGGAGGGGAGGGGGAGCGGCGGAGAGGCTTCCCTAGGTGCTTTTGGCTTTCAGGACTAGCATCGGACAGGACTCTGCCCATCAGGGATCTCTCTGACATCTTTAATCTTTCTCCCTTTCGCCGTGGTCTCTGCTGCTCATGCCTGTCACTCTGCTTTCTCTCCTCTTCCCAATGCCTCTTCTGCGACAGACTGAATATTTGCGTCTGCTGGAAGTTCATGTTGAGACCTAGTCCCCAGTGTGGCGGTTTTGGGACAGGGAGTCTTTGCCAGGTGAATTAGGTCATGAGGGTGAAGCTCTCTTGATCGGGATCCGTGTCCTTACAAAAGAGACTCTGGAGAGATCTCTTGCCCCTTCCGCCTTGGAGGATTGTAATAAAAAGGTGGTTGTCTCTCCACCCTCAACCCTCTTGGCATTTTAGCTTTTCCCTTAGACTTCCCTATTTCTGTCCGAATTCTGGGATTCTTCCTAGGTTCAGGAAGTGCGCTCTCACCAGACCCTGAATCGCTGAGAAATATATTTCTGTTGTCTGTAACAAATTATCTTCAGTCTGTAGTATTTTTTTTTTTAAAGATTTTATTTATTTATTTATTTGACAGACAGAGAGAGAGGGAAGGCAGAGAGAGAGAGGAGCAGGCTCCCCGTTGAGCAGAGAGCCCAATGTGGGGCTTGATCCCAGGACCCTGAAATCATGACCTGAGTGGAAGGCAGAGGCTTTAACCCACTGAGCCACCCAGGAGTCACCAGTCTGTAGTATTTTGCGTCACAGCCTGATTGGACTAAAACACCACCCTTAAAAAAAAAAAAAAGTGGGGCGCCTAGGTCCCTCAGAGGTCCACATTGGGCTCTCTGCTCAGAAAGCAGCCTGCTTCCTCCTCTCTGACTCTCTGCCTGCCTCTCTGCCTACTTGTGATCTCTGTCTGTCATATAAATAAATAAAATCTTAAAAAAAAAAAAAAAAAAGACCGGAGCTGAGACCTCCTGCCCCACCCAGGCGCCCCCGCCTATTACTTTATTTGTAAAGACAGAAGAGCAGCTTACACACTTGCTTGGTGACAAGCATTTTCCACTCAGTGACGTATCGTGCACATCAGAACACAGCTGGTGCATTCTTTTTGATGGCTGCTAGTGTTCTACCCCAAGGCCCCATGGATGGACGGGCTTTTGTGAATACAGATGATGAGGCAGCAAATACCCTTGACCCCCCGATGTCAGGCACCCAAGCAAAGCACATCTGTCAGAAAATAGAGTGCTTCCTTTCCCAGGAGATAGCAAAGCTGTGTTCTTCCGGCAGACGTCCTAGGTAGGGCCTGCCTTGGCTGCTTTGCTCTCTCTTGACTCCTTAAGTACTTAGAATATGGCTTCTGCTCATGAACATACTCAAGGGGAACCAAGGACCTCCTTCCTTAGGGCATGGCCTCTGACTCTTCCGTAGAACTTGACCTCACTGCCCACCCCGTCCTGAAACTCACCTTGTTTGGCTCTTACGGGGGATGATCTCTGTCTTCCCATTCTCTAAGCCTGCTCTTCCTGTGACCTTTGTCTGCCTTATCACCGGGCAGGAGTTTGAGGGAGTGGAACCGGCTGGGTTAGCCCTTGGCCCACACCCATTTACCTCACTGCCTGGACCCCGGGAGGAGTGGGAGGTTTTGATCAATATCTGAATTCACGACCTGTACCCCTGAAGCAAATGATACATTATATGTTAATAAAAAAAAATCTGAATTCACACTCTGTCTTCTAAGCTCAAACCCTTCATTAAAATAATAATGCTTTTAATTCCTGCATTTTATGTTATTATCACTATTTTAATATTTGCTATGTCTCGTTTTAAAAATATGAAAAGGTGTGGGGGCATCTGGGTGGCTCATTTGGTTAAGCATCTGACTCTTGATACTGGCTCAGGTGTCGATCTCAAGTTTGTGAGTTCCAGCCCTGAGTTGGGCTCCATGCTGGGTGCTGGGCTTAAGATAAACTACGAAAAGTGGTCAATAATAACAAAGAATACAACAAAAGAGGCGCAGAACAAGTACCAATGTATAAACCATTCTGCTTAATAAAATGTGACCGACACAAGCTGAAGTCTCTTTTGGACCCTGTCTGCACCCCAGAGGTAATCACTATACTGAATTTGGAGTTTGTCATTTTCTTGCATTTTAACTGAGTCCTGAATTTCTGAGGGGCCTTTCTGGATATCTCTGTATGGGTATCCCACTTGGGTTAATGCAATGTACGGTTAAATGCAAATGCACGTGATTCCATTTATGTAAAAAGGAAAAATATGCGTGCCTTATCTTTCTATCTATCCTCAGAAAACCTTCCAGAAAGATCTATATTAGGGAGGGACCAAACAGAACACAGCAGCAAACCTGTTTGCAACTTCTGTGAGACATCAAAATTTAATTATTTCTGGAAGCTTGGACTAGGGATGGTTTTTCTATTTGCTCACTTGAGTTTTCTAAATTTTCAACGGTGGAGCATGGATTACTAATGCCCCAAACCTATCTTGCCTGATGAAGTTCTAGAACCTAGGTGAGGTTCGGTGGGCTGAGGTCCGGAGCCGATGACCAAGGAAGAATTCTTGAGACATCTTTGGTGCAAAATGGTGGTTTATTAAAGCATGGGGACAGGACCGTGGGTAGAAAGAGCGGCTGCCCTGGGTTGTGAGGGATGGCAGGTTAAGTACCCTGCGGTTGGGGGAAGGTGAGGGAAAAGGGGGGTTTCAATGGAGCTTTCATATGCTAAAGAGGGCCTACAAGGTGCAGGGATACCAGAAGCCTTGCAGCCTGATCAATGTTGTCTTTTGGCCAGCCATTAACATCAAGATAGTGGGGAGATTCCTGTCCTGCGGGATTGTGATCTCTGCAAGTTAACCATTTGTTTCTCGTTTATGGCAGTCAGGGGTCACACATATTACCGAAGGGAGCGGGTGGAGAGGGGTGCAAGGTGCCAGCTTTTGCTTTGTCCTCAGTCAACCTCCTGCTCCCTCATCATTGCCCTCTACCCTCTTACCAATTTAGCTTTTACCCTAGACATCCCTATTTCTGTTGGAATTCTGCTATTCTTCACAGGTCCGAAACCTGGGAGGCATGCCTGATGCCCCTTTCCATTTCACTTTCCATTGGTTCTTACTACACCTGCAGCTGGGTGGATTTCTACCTCCTCTGTTAGATTTCAAGTTCTTAGGGGGGCACAGACCTTATCTGTTTCCCTGGGGGCCCCTCATGCAGCACAGCTCAGACGCAGATGGTCCAGAAGTGGTTATTGAACCTCTCTGCCTGATGCCTCAGGCTTGCCTACACACCTTGCAAGTGTCACCTGGCTTATTTATAGAAATTTCCTCTATAAATAAGACGTTTCTGTTTCAGGTGTGGTTTGCCCTTCATATTTACACTCCATCTCTGACTCTACCCCAGCCTCAAACTTAGAAACCGGAATTGGAGCTGATATTCAAATCCTTAGCCACAGTACAAGCGGCCAGCTGCCCCCCCCCCGCCCCCCGTAAGAGCTAAGTCATAGTGGTGAAGTTCGTTTTTTTTCCCTCAACATTCTAGCTGCTGTCAGTACCTTTGCTGGGGAGCGCTTGACGAGAGTTTACTTGTCCTTCCTTGCTGTTCTTTCTGGGGTTTCCTTGTTTCTTTTTGTGATCAGCTTCCAGATGGCCCAGCAGTGCATCCAAAACGAGTATTTTGACAGATTGCTTACTGCTTGCAAACCGTGTCACCTTCGATGTTCTAACACCCCTCCTCCACCTTGTCAACATTATTGTGATGCAAGTAAGTAATACTGCTTAAACAATTAATTCATTGGGGTGACCTATTTTCTCTACATTGACTATTTATTCGAAGAATAGACATTCCGGAGGGGAAGAGGGTGAGATCTTTTCGAATCAAAAAAGAGAAAGGAAATAAGGCAAGTATTTAAATATTTAAATGCCAACGGAGCAAAGTAATTATTCAGAACTGAACTCAATTCTATTCAGTGCTATTAGCAACCAAGATTTTTATCAAGTCTTCTAATTCATTGTTATTTAGAATTTACAAGTCAGTGCTGATGAATTAGGGGAATTGGATGGCAAATAGCCTTTGCTTTGATGTGGATATTATGTTGTCAGTTCATGATCTCTCCAATACTCTTTTTAATTCAGTGAAAGGAACAAATGCGGTTCTCTGGACCTGTCTGGGCCTGAGCTTGATCGTTTCTTTGACGGTTTTCGTGTTGATGTTCTTGCTAAGGAAGATGAATTCGGAACCATCCAAGGACGAACGTAAAAACACAGGTTGGTTTGATGGTCAGTCTTTGAAATCTGTTTCCGAGAGGGGGCTGTTGTGAATTTCAGTTCCTTCAATCTCTCTCTCTATCTCACCTTTCCCCCCCACCCCCCATGTTGAGTAATTCATTTGGTTAGCGCCCTTTTGGGTGTGTTAGAGGACAGTTGTGTTAAATGAACTTTTGGGAAGGAGTGAGCTGTCTTCTTTTTGGTTTGTCTCTTTGCAGGTGCCCCGCATTCTTTCCTCAGTAATTACTCTCCTGAAATTCTGAGGTTTCTTTGGCAAACACCCATGTCTTTGACCAAAGTTAACCCATTGATGAAACATTTTACTCTCAGAAACTGCTAGCCAGGTCTGCTGCTATCAGAAAAAATGTATTTGGCAAGATCCACGCGTATATTTTTAATACAGTTGTAAATGCTGTTTGCTTGTGTGATTCTTGAATTCTCCAATTTACTCATTGCTAGAGATGAATTACCAGGTGTTCTTGGATGGATTTGAGCCGTCATTTTAAAGATTATTATCTTTATTAAGCAGCAGAGACCTAGTCTTGGAGAAGTGAATGTTCTTCACCTTTTTTTAAAAATATTTTTTATAAGATTTTTTAATGTATTTATTTAACAGAGAAAGATCACAAGCAGGCAGAGAGGCATGCAGAGAGAGAGAGAGAGAGAGAGAGAGAGAGGAGAAAGCAGGCTCCCCGCTGAGCAGGGAGCCCAATGCAGGACTCGATCACAGGACCCTGAGATCATGACCCGAGCTGAAGGCAGAGGCTTTAAGCCACTGAGCCACCCAGGCGTCCCGTGAATGTTCTTCTTAAACGCTTTTTAAGATAAAAATATTTTTGTAGCACCTTGGCCCATGATCTAATTCCTGAACACTTTGCAGCCATTGGCCTATTTCTTTTTTTTTTTTTTTAAAGATTTTATTTATTTATTTGAGAGAGAGACAGTGAGAGAGAGCATGAGCGAGGAGAAGGTCAGAGAGAGAAGCAGACTCCCCGTGGAGCTGGGAGCCCGATGTGGGACTCGATCCCGGGACTCCAGAATCATGACCTGAGCCGAAGGCAGTCGTCCAAGCAACTGAGCCACCCAGGCGTCCCCATTGGCCTATTTCTTGATGCTTTTATTTTCCATGTATAATCTGTAAAGCACCTCATTTGCAGTAAAGTGAGGTAGATGACTGTTCCCCATAATTTACTCAAGTTTTTTTTTTTTTTTTTTTCTCTTGTGCCTGGGTTCTGAGAGACAGGTGGGGAGTGATTTTAAGTGTGACATTTTGGAAGATGGAGTTATTCTGCGGGAGGCTGGGGAAGTAGTAAAGTTTACCTTCACCAGCATATAAATAGGGACATAATAGAGACTACTTCCTTATATGATCCCAAAAGATTCATTATAATAGTGGTGAGCATAGCTGCCTTCCAAAAGATTCATTATAAAAAAATTTTGATTTGCTACCAAATGCTCTGTAAGGGAAGCATCTTTACTTTGAATTTTAAAGTGTCAGCTAAAGGCTCATTTTGGTGTGCTGTAACATATGGTAGTGGGTCATTTCACGGGTGTGAAGTAGGTAGGGTCAGTACCTCAATGTCTCCAAGGGCCAAGAGGGTAACCAGTGAATGCAATGGGCCAGGGGGAGGTTTTAACAGTAGAGTAGCCAATGCCCTTCCTCAAGGAGACAAGTGCTAGTGACTCCAGTGAATTGTTTCCACGTAGGAATGTCACCTACAAGTTGCCACATATTCTTTTTGTTTTTGTTGTTGTTGTTGTTTTGTTTTTAAAGAGGCCAATTGCCTCGATTTGCTGGTGAAATCCCTTGAATTTTAAAAAATCTCTTGATTTTTTTAAAATGCGGGCCAACATAAAACATGTAAGCAAACACTTAAAAACACTGTAGGGGCCTAAACAAAGTCTATCTTCAAACCCAATGTGGTCTGTGATCTGTCTGTGGGTGACCTCTCGTGCGGGACATACTCATTTGTTTTGTAGGAAGAGCCAGCCCCCGACCCCAAACCTGGTCTCTCGGAGCCCTAATGTGTACTGCTGTGACTGTAAGGACCTCACCACCTGCAAGTTGAGGTTAATGGTTGTGTTTCTGTATGATCAGGCTTGGCTCTCCAGAACAAGGAGAATGCTGACCAGGAGGAGGGCTGTGCTAGCAGGAATGGCGAGGAAGTTCCCTCGAGGGGCCTGGAGTATACAGTGGAAGAATGCACCTGTGAAGACTGTGTCAATTCTGAATCAAAGGTTGATTCTGACCATTTCTTTCCACTCCCAGCTATGGAAGAAGGTGCAACTATTCTTGTCACCACAAAAACAACTGACTACTGTAATAGCCTGCTGGCTAGTGTCACAGAGATGGAGAAACCCATTTTTACCAGATAATTAACCGTTTCAATGGTTGTAGAGCAGCTTTGAAAATTGTATGATGGAAGGATGATGATGTATCAGATCTCTTTAGGATGATTGTATATATCGATTGCCGATAGAGCTTTTTGTCCTGTAATTCTAGAAAATCTTTATGTTATATGGACTTCACTACCTTATTGAAATTCCTTGGTTTCACGATTAAATTCTTGACTCACCGAAAAAAAGCGCTGCAGTGTGTAGAGCCCGTGGTCCCACATTTCTATGGCTAGTTCCCTGGTCTCCTATATACACACATAGATACTTCAGGCTTTTCTCTCTCTAATGAAAGGAAATCAAGGTGATCCTATGTACTCCTGGAGATAGGAGATGCCTAGAGTCAGCCACACAAATTTAGCGTGCGATGCATGAGGGCAAGGCTCCTGACCTTGTGAGTGTTTAGTTTAATGGAGACATCAGGCATTATCACTGTCCCATAAATAAATATGTAATTGCAAACCACGATAAAGGTATAGTACGTATCATTCTCAGATCCCAATGCAGGTGATAATAATGATAGCTAAAACTTAGCCTTACTAGGGGTGCCAAGGTGGCTCAGTTGGTTAAGTGTCTGACGCTTGATTTCAGCTCAGTTCATGGTCTCATGGGTGGTGGGATCAAGTCCTGTGACTCAGGCTCTGTGATCAACGGGGAGTCTCCTTAAGATTCTCTACCTCTCTCTTTCCCTCTGCCCACACCACCCCCGCCCACACTTTCTTTCTCTCATTCTCTAATAAATAAATACATCTTTAAAAAATACAAACGAGGGGCGCCTGGGTGGCTCAGTGGGTTAAGCCTCTGCCTTCAGCTCAGGTCATGATCTTGGGGTCCTGGGATCGAGCCCCACATCAGGCTCTGCTCAGCAGGGAGCCTGCTTCCCCCGCTCCCTCTGCCTGCCTCTCTGCCTACTTGTGATCTCTGTCTGTCAAATAAATAAATAAAATCTTTTTTTTTTTTTAATATTTTATTTATTTGACAGAGAGAGAGATCACAAGTAGAGAGAGAGAGAGGAGGAAGCAGGCTCCCCGCCTAGCAGAGAGCCCGATGCGGGACTCGATCCCAGGACCCTGAGATCATGACCTGAGCTGAAGGCAGAGGCTTTAACCCACTGAGCCACCCAGGCGCCCCTAAATAAATAAAATCTTAAAAAAAACCCCAAACCAACAGAAGAAAAACCCCCTTAGCCTTACTTATGTGCCAGGATAGTTATTTATTTATTTATTTATTTATTTAATAAACATATAATGTATTTTTTTTTTCACAAGTAGGCAGAGAGGCAGGCAGAGAGAGAGGAGGAAGCAGGCTCCCTGATGAGCAAAAAGCCCGATGTGGGGCTCGAACCCAGGACCCGGGATCATGACCCGAGCCGAAGGCAGCGGCTCAACCCACTGAGCCACCCAGGCGCCCCCATATAATGTATTTTTATCCCCAGGGGTACAGGTCTGTGAATCACCAGGTTTACACACCTCATAGCACTCACCATAGCACATACCCTCCCCAATGTCCATAACCCCCCCGCCCGACTCCCCGACCCCCAGCAACCCTCAGTTTGTTTTGTGAGATTAAGAGTCACTTATGGTTTGTCTCTCTCCTGATCCCATCTTGTTTCATTTATTCTTCTCCTATCCCCCTAACCCCCCAAGTTGCATCTCAACTTCCTCATATCAGGGAGATCATACGATCATTGTCTTTCTCCGATTGACTTATTTTGCTAAGCATAATACCCTCTAGTTCCATCCACGTCATCGCAAATGGCAAGATGTCATTTCTTTTGATGGCTGCATAGTATTCCACTGTA